AAGAAAAAATTGAAATAATTGGAAAAACTCCAGAATTGCAAAAATTCAAAGAAATGAAACAAGAGAATTCGAAAATTCGAACACCAAAAATTAAAAAAATTTACAAAAACCTGAAGAATTTCAAAAATGTGAACCATCTCATTGACCTTCAAAATTTAAATCATGAGAAGAGCTCGACGAACCTGAAGAATCTAAAAAAACCTTAAGAATCTGAAAAATGAAAAAAAAAATTAAAAATCCGAAGACTGAACAATCTTGACAATCCGTGGATTTGAAAAATCAAAAGGACGCAAAGAAACTGAGGAATCTTAAAAATCTAACTGCTCCGATGAAGAAGCCCAAAGCACTGAAAAACTTGATAAGTCTGAAACTTCCGAAAAATAGAAGGATCTGCGAACCCGAGGATCCGGATCCGGATCGGATTAATCCGCGAAATATGCCAAAAGAAAGAAAAGTGAGATTGTGAAGTAAAACGCAAACAAATTTCAAAATGTATGGGATACTTTATTGAATAAACCATTGAAAGGCAATTGTAAAACGTAATTATTCCAAAATGCGACTCACAATTTACGCCAAATCTAAATAGGTTGCTGAAATTTTACTTGTTTTGATAATAAACAGTTGTCCTTATCATATCAATGCTACAGTTAAATATTATCATTCCGCACAAAGTAACCGCATGACGTAGGTACTTTATGCGTTATTTTTGGAAAAAAACATGATCACTCAACGTTCAAGTGATAATAATGATAATATGATGCCATCGACACGAGTGCTATTGAACTTCTTTTTCGCAATATGTGCCATCGTCATAATTTCATCTGCAAAGCGTACCGCAGGAAGCGGAGGTTCGATCCCTTCATCACGTTTTTTTCATATAATAACTGCGCAGCGCATTTATCTACCTAATCACTAGAGCCACTAATTATAGATAGAGAATTTATTTACCTATTCACAGCTCAAACAAGGGTGTGTATGTGCACTTCCATGATTAAACCCTTCGATGGAACGTCTTCACTATTCTGGACGATGGTGGCGACTGTACGACGTCGGCGTCGGGCTATTTAAGGCGTTAACGTCGGCGTTCGCGATCGATAGGTGCAGAAAATGATCCCGAAAAGTATACGTACGCAAAATAACGAATACGATTAAGTCTAGACCGACGACGAATTGAACATAAAAATGCACTTGCAGTGGTCTTAACCTACGTATTAACGCAAACAAGGACAAAGAAATTAGTTTTCAATTTTGGGGAAATTTTTTTCCTCTCCTGAAAGAATTACAACAATTAGCTATTTTACGTTTTCGCGCTGTCCCTAAACCTTCTCAACATCTTTGCAGAATCTTCTTAGGTCATCTCCCACTCATGTCAAGTAAGTCCAATTTCAGAAAAAAATTAAAAACATGCAAAAGAACAAGAGACAATGATCCCATTTTAAAAAACCAAAAGAGCAGGGAACCAAGATCATTAAAAAGTAAGTCATTAACAATGCTTAGGTACCCAATTAGGGGCATTCAAACTTCAATATTCATTAATCCAATTGACACCTGGGCTTAATTGGTATTTTCCCGGCACAACGACTGCTGTCGTTATCTAAACACATGCATGGCTGCAAACTTTGGAACTCGTTTCTATCCTCGTTTTTACTTATTCTTGGAAACAAGTAGGTGGAATAATAGTAGTAAATTACTATTTTACATAGTTCTACGGAAAGGGAAACCTTACAAGATGTCCTTACACCTCACATTTTGTGACAGGAACCGTATATCGGCCCTTAAAATGCTTAATAACTAATTAACGGCGCTGAAATCTCAAAATATTAATAGTTTTCCTTCTCGGTTACACCAGCTTTCGGAGGCTACAAGAACAATACAAACAATCCTACCGGAACGGTTGGCAAACTGCTCAATTCAATACAAAACTTACGCGCGTTATCGGCGTTTTACACAAAATGTAAACACAGACAACTTACTTCTCGAGCAAATAAGTAGCAATTCCTTGGTAACGAAGCGCCAAGCTTACAACGCTTCTCGATACCGGATGCTCAGCAAAGCTGGAAAACTTCACAAATATAGGGTGTGGTCATAACTTCAGGGCGCAACACGGATGCTTCGTTTAGAACACTCATTTGGAAACAATCGGACCGAAACTGCAGAAGAAGAGAGGAAAAAACTGAAACATCACCAGGTTAGTACACCACGCTCGGTGATGGCGCCCGGATGTCGCCGACCCCACATTGTGTAGCCTCCTCATCTTTCTACAAGCGTTCTTCTACGGGCTCGCATTTCCTTCCAGCCAGCCGGCCAATGTGAGATTAAAGGCGCTAAAGATAAAATGAAATAACCCAAAAGAGCAGGGGACAATGATCCCATTTTTAAAACAAGTATAAATTGTGCACAACTCCTGTGAAGAGAAAGCGCATTTTTTTAACCGAACTAGCTTTTGTTTTGACATCACCAATGGATATATTTCTTGCAGACGTCTCAATCGCCCTTTGTGAGTACCCTCTTCCGACAATCCGTTCTTGAGGTATAAGGGAATATACTCGATCACGATAAGAGGCCGAGGAGGAGGGCTATGGTTGGTAGAAATTAATTCCTTTCGTTGAGACCTTTCATTAGAGTACCATGAAGGATAAAACTAGTTCCACTCCACCCCCCCCCACCCCCCCTACACCTCTACCCCGTACTTTGATAAGAGGACAGAAAGAAGGACAGTATTTGGTAGAAAACGGTTCCTTTCGTTGAGGGCTTTAATTAGAATACAATTAGAGATAAATTTAATTTTTACCTCCCCCCCCCCCCGGCCACGTCGCTCACTGATCTCGAAAAAGAGTCGCACGGGAAAGTTATAGTTTGTACAAACCAATTTATTTCGATGAGAATACCATGAAGGGTAGAACATGTGTTAACCCCCCCCCCCCCATTTTCTAAAGTTTAACTTGACACTACTAATGCCATGCGTATGCAAAATCTAAGAACAATTGGTTGTCGTATGTAAAAGTTATGCACGTTTTACTTTCAAAAACAGCATCTCAGGAAATAATTCGTGGGGGGGGGGGGGGGGGGGGGCTGGCTTTTAGTCGGCGAAATTTGATGACCGTCTGTCACACCTTCAAGGTATAGGCTACCTACTGCAAAATTCCAGGACTCTAGGACCATTCCCCTTGAAGTAGGTAGTTCGAAACGACAGAAGTGGGGTCCGGACGGACGGACAAAACGCAAATAGCACATTTTTTTTTAATTCTTAAAAAATGCGCTAAAAAACAAATGTGGCGGGTACAATGGTGCCTTAAAAAACCAAAATAACATGGGACAAAGATTCCCCCCCCCCCCCCCCCCAAATAGTCCCACTTAAAAAAGAACGAAACAACCAAAAAAATAGAGGGTAATGAGAATATTTGTACAGTGTTGAGAGGATCCGCCCTACGATGATGCATATATTTTTGAGAACTGTAAACCACAGGAGGGGAAAAGCTGTCTGCGCCATCTCGAGAGTACCATCGTTGGTTTTTTGGCATCTTGCTTTTAATGGCGTTCACGAAAGCATCGCTCCGTAAATGTTTGTTTTTATTGTATTATTTAATGCGGGTAGTAATCTTTGCAGTTCTTTATAATGTATTTATGTTTTGTATATAACATTTTACATATTTGATTTTGAAGTTGATTTGATTTAACCTCAATGTACCTTCATGTGTTTGATACCGTTAACCTTTTGTTTGAAATCGCGTTCATTCATTTTTGGTGTAATGTTTGCTATATTTTTGTTTATGTTTGATTACATGGTCTTGGCCCCAACTGAGATTTTGATCGTTCTTTTAAACATGTGGAAATCTGGAAATTATCAAATTGTTTGACGTGAATCTGTACCGAATTGTTGTTTGTAACTAACAATTTCTACGTGAATGCGGTCAGGGGGTGGCAAACACTGTAACTAAATGAGTTACGACACCTAATTACGTGATTGACCTCGACAAGCAACTGTAAGCTAGTAAACCCCGGACGAGGGGCAAGTTATCTATCTCGGGGGCGAGATCCCGAAATCCCTTAAAACTTAAAGAAACATTGGAAAAAACACGCCAATGGCCTAGCCCTAGCCCCTGATGTGGAATAATAACTATAATTTATTGTAAACCTAATGTAAGCAACTATTAGATTCACGTCTACCAGAGCCAGAGCGTTTCCTACACTGCACATACACTATACAAGGTGCATTTAAGATGTTCACACAACACAACCTCGAGCTAAAATCTTAAACTTTTTTCCCTTGTATAATCAATAACTATTTATTTTATTTTTATTTTTGCATTTACGTATTTACAAAAATCCATACCCAAACCGAGATTCGAACCACTACCGCAGCCGAGCTTTAACTCAACTGCGCCACACGAGCCGGCATCATGTTGTAGCCTAGGTAAGGCATGTTAACGTAAGAAAAAATCCGCAATTATTGGGATTTTTTATATTCTCAGAATTTCGAATTCTATGCCCGTTTCTTTTCTTATTTCTGAAGTTGGACATTTTCTTTTTGTATTGTTTTTTAGTTTGTAAGAGGAGGAGGAGATGCTTAAGTAAGGTTCTCCTGAATCCAGGTTCGGACCAGGGAGCTTCTTTGTAATCGTAGCCGGTATCTAAACCCACTTAGGATTCTCCAATTTGGGTCCAAGCTTCCATGAGAAAACCGTTCTGTAGCTGCTGTCGTTAAAAATTAACAAAATTCGATATTGAATTCAAGCGTATAGGCAACACATAGTACACTTGTGCAAGATCTCTCTGTATTTTTGGTGGGCGAAAAAGACTGAATATCAAATTTCAAGTTACCAATTGAATTGTGCTTACTTTAGCAACGATAATTAAAATGAAAACTGGAAAGCGGTATAATTTCGTGGAACAAAGTGGAAAAATTAACAATTTGGGAAGGAAGAGGGCGAGAAGGAAAAACGTGAATTCCAGAAATATCCTGCTGAGAAGGGTAAGTGACCAATAACAGAAAAAATCAATACTAACAAAAGCACGCTATTTTATTTAGTAAGTGATACACAATAAACCCGCAACCTTAATCTACCTCTTCAATAATCGGCCCTTCTCCACTTTTGCCACGTCTTCCCGAACTACCACCGCCGTGCAATTTGCTCATGATGGGGCTGCAAACGCGCGAAATCTCCTTGTAGCGGTACTCGTACTCGTCTTTTTCGGCGGTCTGATTTCCGTCCAACCACTTGATGCACGCCTGGCACTCCTTCAGCACCCTGTCCTTATCGCTCGCACTCAGCTTGTCTCCGTTTTCCTCCACAGATTGCTTCACGCCGTAGACGTAGGTTTCCAGGCGGTTTTTGCTATGGACGCGATCCTTCTGGCGGTCGTCATCTTCCTTGTAGGTCTCGGCCTCGGCGATCATTCTCTCGATCTCGCGTTTCGAAAGCCTGCCTTTATCGTTCTTGATGGTGATCGTCTTCGATTTTCCGGTGCTCTCGTCGACCGCCGAGACGTTCAGAATGCCGTTCGCGTCCAGATCGAAGGTGACGTCGATTTTGGGCACGCCGCGCGGGGCCGGCGGAATGCCGGTGAGATCGAAATTGCCGAGGAGATTGTTGTCCTTCGTCATCGCCCGCTCGCCTTCGAACACCTGTATCGTGACCGCGGGCTGTTGGTCCGAGTACGTCGTGAAGGTCTGCGTCTGCTTGCCCGGTATACGCGAGTTACGCTCTATGATTCTGGACATGACGCCGCCGGCAGTTTCGATTCCGAGTGACAGGGGGGTTACGTCCACCAAGAGGACGTCTTGTATCTTGGAGCTCTGGTCACCGCTTAGGATTGCGGCTTGGACCGCCGCGCCGTAAGCGACAGCCTCGTCTGGGTTAATGGAGAGGTTGAGCGTTTTGCCTCCGAAGAAGTTTTGGAGAAGAGACTGAATTTTGGGTATGCGTGTGGAGCCTCCGACTAAAACCACGTCGTGTATGCTTCTCTTCTCCATCTGGGCGTCGTTTAGGGCCTTTTCGACTGGGAGTAAGGTGCTTTTGAAGAGGTCGGCGTTCAGCTCTTCGAAGCGCGCCCGTGAGAGTTTCGAGTAAAAGTCGACGCCATCATAGAGGGCGTCAATTTCGAGCGATGCCTCCGTGCTGGACGATAAGGTGCGTTTAGCCCGTTCGGCCGCAGTGCGCAAACGGCGGATTGCACGAGGATTTGTGGACATATCCTTCTTATACTTACGCTTGAATTCGTCCATGAAGTGATTAACCACGCGGTTATCAAAATCTTCACCTCCCAAGTGGGTGTCGCCTGCTGTTGATTTCACTTCGAAAAGCGAACCTTCGTTAATTGTCAAAATGGAGACGTCAAAAGTGCCTCCGCCCAAATCGAAGATTAGCACATTGCGCTCACCTGAGAGATTCTTGTCCAAACCGTAAGCCAAAGCGGCAGCTGTCGGTTCGTTGATAATACGCAGCACGTTAATACCGGCAATGGCACCGGCGTCCTTGGTGGCTTGACGTTGGGAGTCATTAAAGTAAGCGGGCACAGTAATGACAGCATTTCTGACGTTCCCTCCCAAGTAAGCCTCGGCGATCTCCTTCATCTTCACAAGCACCATGGAGCTAATCTCCTCGGGATTAAAAAGCTTCTTCTCGCCCTTATACTCGACCTTAATCTTCGGCTTCCCATCCTCGTTGACGACTTTAAAGGGCCAGTGCTTCAAATCTTTCTGAACGTTTAGATCGTCAAATTTTCGCCCGATCAGTCTCTTCGCATCATAGACGGTATTGCTGGGGTTCATCGCGACCTGATTTTTGGCGGCGTCCCCAATGAGCCTCTCCGTCTCGGTGAAGGCGACGTAACTTGGGGTCGTCCTATTCCCTTGGTCATTGGCGATAATTTCCACCTTTCCTTGCTGAAAAACACCGACACACGAGTACGTCGTACCCAAATCGATACCAATCGCCGGCACAACCATTTTTTTTAGACGGATGTCACCTTTGTTTACTCACAGAAGCGCGCCTAGATTTCGTTTCAAATTGTTTAGACGCAGCAAGATCGGCGCGAATATATTCGACGCGATCGTCTAAACTCGTCTATACCACAAATTTGATTTTCAAGGGGAGCTTGTTCAAATTTGATTGTGCTATAGCGGAAAGTAATCGAATGTACCAGGACATTCGCGTGTTCTACGGCGATTTGGCTCAGGACACGAAGTCACTTATTTTAATGTTGCATGAATCACTGCACGTAAAAATAGAAAATTGTTAATTCAATACTTGATTGTTATTTTCCATTCCGTGGGATTGTCCTCGATTTATTGCGAATTGGAAAAATGCAAATGCATTACTTCATACGTTTTTTTTTCGTCAAAACTACTACCCCTGAAACCACCAATAAAGCCCTTTTTACTGTAGGTTAAGTAATAGAAAAATTAAAAGATACACTTCAGGCACTCGCGTGACCGGAATGACTTTCCCACTTATATATTATTAACGATTCTCTTAATCGAAATAATTTTGTATTGCTACCTATATCCGTCCGTTCGTTCGTCCGTATCGTCGCTATTGTTTTTCAACTAGCTAGCGCACCGGGTCTAAAAGTCACGTAAGATTCTTTACGTTGAGAGATTAAACAAACTGCAAATTTTTACTTGGTGATAAAGCTTTCTCCTACTTGTGATAATCTAACCAAGGGTTTTCAATTTTTTGGTCAACTTGTTAACGCCAAATAGTTGCATCAATAAAATGGTGGTTTGCTCGTAAGTTTTCAAATACAAGGATACACCAAAAATGACAACGTTTCAAAATTCGTTTCGTATTTACCGTTAGCAAGATTCCAATGTGCACAATCAGGCGCCTATCGTTCCTTATTCAATGTCGCTGAAGGAGGATTGTATCCAAACCCAATTTTTTTCATTTTTGTAGAATTAACGGTTTGAATCTTTAAGAAAAAACTATCGATTGACTGGCTTTTAAAATCTTTGAATTATTGCCCGTTTTAGCATTAAAACCCCCAGAGCTGGGCAGTATTCGATTTTGTAAATACTTTTTAGTATTCAAATCCTTTAAAGTATTCAAATACTTCGCATAGTATTTGAATACTTAACCTTCCTTTTTTTTACCAAAAAACGACTACTCCAAAATTTCTCGGGAAAACACTTTTTCTTATTAATTTTGGTGCGTAGAATCCAAAACAATTCGTACTTTTTCGATCAGACTTCTCAATCAAAAGTTATAGACTAGAAACCAATTTCGAAAGAAAATTCAAAGGGCTGTAACTTTTGAACTAGTAGCCCAATTTTGGAACTGTTTGAAATTATGGATTCTACAGGCCACATTCTATAAGAAAATTTTTTTTCCGGGTCGATCTGAGACAATTTTTTTTCGGGGCTCAAAAAAAGGCAGTGTATAACCTTCCTTTTTTACCAAAAATCGACTGCACCAAAATTTCTCGGGAAAACACTTTTTCTTATTAATTTTGGTGCGTAGAATCCAAAACAATTCGTACTTTTTCGATCAGACTTCTCAATCAAAAGTTATAGACTAGAAACCAATTTCGAAAGAAAATTCAAAGGGCTGTAACTTTTGAACTAGTAGCCCAATCTTGGAACTGTTTGAAATTATGGATTCTACAGGCCACATTCTATAAGAAAAATTTTTTCCGGGTCGATCTGAGACAATTTTTTTTTCGGGCCTCAAAAAAAGGCAGTGTATAACCTTCCTTTTTTACCAAAAATCGACTGCACCAAAATTTCTCGGGAAAACACTTTTTCTTATTAATTTTGGGGCGTAGAATCCAAAACAATTGTTACTTTTTCGATCAGACTTGTCGATCAAAAGTTATACACTAGAAATCAATTTCGAAAGAAAATTCAAAGGGCTGTAACTTTTGAACTAGTAGCCCAATCTTGAAACTGTTTGAAATTATGGATTCTACATGCCCCATTCTATAAGAAAAATTTTTTCCGGGTCGATCTGAGACAATTTTTTTTCGGGCCTCAAAAAAAGGCAGTGTATAACCTTCTTTTTTTACCAAAAATCGACTGCACCAAAATTTCTCGGGAAAACACTTTTTCTTATTAATTTTGGAGCGTAGGGAACTGGAATTCCCGTCTCATACGATTATACCTTCGATACGTTCAAAAAATTAAAACTGTTTTTAATTAATTACGCCTCTCCCCGACTCCCGATGAGAAAAATATGGAGCCAGTGTCAAATTTCAATTTTTTTAAGAACGCACCTAACGGATATAATCTCGACTTAATCAGAGGTTATCTGTAACCCATTCAACTAATAACGGTTAATTATACTTATCCAAACAGTCGGAATGAAATCTCCAAATTCGGCGGTCTAGCAATCACATTTTGTTCCTTGGAATGTGAGGCCAAGTGGCGCAATCTGTTATCACTTTGATATTTTCGTTAACGGCACGACCTTGCCGGTTTCAGTCCTGGATTTTCGTATACCATTAGAAAAATCAAATCGATTAATCGATAATTAACGGACCTAAAACTTAATAAGATTGATTCTCTCTCTTTTTCTCTGGCAAGAGAACTTTCGGCGACTGTAAAAACAATTTAAATATTCCTACAGGCACGGTTGCCAAACGGATAAATTCACTACGAAGCTACGTGCGTTATCGGCAGTACAAATAAAATAAAAACACAGCTCACTCGTCTCCTAGAACAAATAAGTAAATGCAGAAACTACTTAGTAACAAAGCTCCCAACTTAAAACGGTTCTAAATACCTACCGGATGTTCGGTAAAGCTCGTCGACTCCACAAATATACGGTGTGGTTATAACTTCAGGTATGAAACGTCAAGGCGGAAAATGTAACTTCGTTGCAGGCCTTCTAAGAGAAAAATGGAATTTCTAAAGCCAGATCATGAATTTCTTACTGTTTTACTGTTTAGATCTTAGAATTCAGTTTTTAAAGCGCCAATTTTTAAGGGCGAATTTACTGCGCCGAATTTCTCTAGGGCCAATATTCACCTAAGGAACAGTTTTGTAGAGTAGATATTTAGATAGGAAACGAATTAAAATAAAGTAGGTAGCAATTATTCCAAGGAAAATATTTGACGGTCTAGCTTTTTCGAACGTTAATGTTCCTTGGACCAAGTTCCAAATAACAATTTCGCTGTGCCACATCTACTTTGGGGGAAAATTCTGGAGCGAAACTTTCGCGTGGAAATCGACAAGGGAGCTGAAATTTCCCAAAAAATCTTAGCGGAAACCTTTCAGAAGAGAGTTTACTGTGACGACGAATATCATCACAGAAATTTAGGTGAACCTTAGAATCTCCAAGGAAAAATTTTCCTGGAGGCAAATATTTGAGGACAATTGTTTCGAAGGCGGGACTTAATTCCGTGAGGGAATCTTTTGGGGGCGAGGTTTTCGAGAACTTTCGGGGATGATTCTACTTCATGGCGATCTTTCGTGAAAGTGAATATCCCGGAGGTAAATTTTTGAAATTGGATTTGCTGGAGTGAATCTTCCTGGGGCAATTTTCCCACAATAATTGAAATTCCGCATTAAACGCAGACAGTATTCACAAGGACTGCTTGCTGGATACGCGTACCGTGATGATCTCGCAGAGCTGGCCTTGGTATTACGTGAGAGGGGTGAGAGTGGAGGGTTAAGGGGAAAAATAGGGAAGCGTACAGGCAGAAAGTAAACGACGAGTATGTGATATTAGGATTTGATTTTGTAATAATCCTAGGGGTCTCCAGGGAACGCACTAAAATCTTGACTTACCCTCTACTTACAGTTGGCAACTAATGATATCTACTAGCTAAGGCAGGAAAAAACATCCGTTTATACCAAACGGAATGAAAATATCAAGCGCTTAGCTTAAAATTAAACAGTACGGTGTCGTAAAATTGGAAAACTAAAACGCCCAAAACGCACGCGAACAAAGAAAAAAAATGCCAAAAGATACCTCTAAATCATGCTGTTACTCTTTGACGTCCTAAAAATCTGGGACTACCCTTGAAATCTAAGTTAATTAAGCGCGCTTCTTTTGGCACTAGACACATCACGAAGTTTGTTGCAACACAATTAATGAACTACGGTTAATTATACTCACTTAATTGGTCGGATTAAAATTTCCAAATTCGATAGCCCATGTTACATGGAATTTCTGGCCAATCGCAAAAGATCTGCGATAATGAAATGAACTGCATGACTTTACAGCTTTCGGGATGGTTCCCGCTAAACCTTGGGAAACTAAAATCGGTTAATAATTAAGGAAGGGAGCTGAAATACTAAAATATGAATTCTTCCCCTGCTTCCCCATGCTACAACAATAATTTACATGTCTGTACGGGAACAATTAGAAACATGTGTTCGGCAGCTGGTTTACTTTATCGGCGGCTAAAACACGACGGCTAGAAATAAAAGTAATTACTTTTACCGTCTCCTAGTGAAGAACTTAACCCCCAGGTTCTACGCTAACTTCACACTACAAGAACACGGAAATAAACTCGGCAACGTTTAAAAATGCCCACCCGAAAGACTATTCCCTCCAAAACTAAACAAGATTCCGCTTAAATTTGATAAGTGGCACGTGATCAAACATCTGTAGGCAGGGCCCCCTTACGTTAGTTGTAGACAACGCTTTGACCTGAAGCGCAGTAGGGAAGGAACTTAAAATAAAACACTCAAATTGTGCAAAGTTTGTTTAATAATGATCGCAATTATTATTGATTGTAAAAGCTCGAAAATTTAAGTCCAAAATAAATTACATTGCAAAAATAAACTTTGAAAATGGTAGTTCAGCAAATCAAAATAGAAATAGGCTGGGAAAAAAAGAACTTACCAATAAAAAAAACCAGCCGTCAAATTAATATCAAATTGTGTTGTAAAATTAATTGTTTGTAATGATGTGAATGCGTAATGTAACGGAAACGCTCCTGACATGACGTCGCCTTTGGCGCTCTGGAATTTTCTACGCGCGCGATAGTGGGATTTTGTGTAGGAATATTCGAGAATGTACTGGACTTACATTGCTTGCGTGTATAAATGGTTGCGGACCGAACATCGCGGGAGTTTTACTATCGAACGAGATCGAGTACGGACGAAACATAGAGCGCGAAAATCTGATATAAATTGCGAAGTGTGATATAAATAGTCGATATAAATTGTACTGTTTTTATAGTGTTTTAATTTTGTTTAATAAATATTGATATAAATCGAACCCGAATTTATAAATTACGTTACAGTAACATAAAATTATAACATCACAAAAGGTAGGAGGTAAACTTCAAAAGGTAACAAATAGGTTAAAAACAAGTTTTGGGAATTATGGGTCAGGTAAGCAGGTACCAAGATTCTAAGAAAGGGTGAAATATACAGGATGTGACTCATCTTTGGTGTAATAAAGTCCTTTTGTTAAAAGCAAGATGGAAAATTACATGACATTGTAGGCAAATTTAACTAAAAACAAGATATATGGAAATTATTGAATCGCCACTCATTTATCGCACATACAGGGTGATTCCTATAGTACCTGCCACCGTTTGGGAGCGTATAGGGGGTGCCTAGGGGAGTATTTTGATATAGGACACTTGGGGTCGGAAATCTAAAATAAGGGCGCCAGAACCAAATTTATCTTCTGGAATTTCACGCCTGTATGTAGGCAACCCAACCGACCGACGTTTCGCGCGGAGCGATGCAGAGCGAGTTAGCGCGAGGAAGCGACATGGGAGGGAAGGAGGGAAAACGACAGTCAAAAGCAATAACGTTTACAAGTGTTCAACGTGGCCACCGTTGTTCTCAATGCACTTCCTACATCTAGCCAACTATTATTATACTATTGCCATAGTGTTTATTCACTTGATACGCGTCGTTGCAGACGGGATTTCGTGGGTTTAAACAAAATTCTGATCAAGTGTCAGCCACACATCGCCGCCTGAGATCGCTCCGTGTGCACCGCCGGCCGGTTGGGTTGCCTACCTACAGGCGCGAAATTCCAGAAGGTAAATTTGGCTCTGGCACCCTTATTTTAGATTTCCGACCCCAAGTGTCCTATATCAAAATACTCCCCTACGCACCACCTACACGCTCCCAAACGGTGGCAGGTACTATAGGAATCACCCTGTAGATTCTAAACTGAAGAGCTTTGATTAGCGTAATCCCGCTCCTGTAAGATAGGTAGCCCGCCCCTGGTTTCGGGGTTTCGAGCCTACAGTTGAATGTCGAAGACAATCACGAAATTAGGTGTCGTACATCAATTTCAACTACAGTTTTTACCACCCCCGTGACTGCTTCATTCACGGAGAAAATTGTTAGTAACAAACAACAAGTCAGTACATACAGCAAACGAATCGGTAATTTCCACATATTAAAATAAAATTATCAAAACTTATATGAATGTAACTTCAGAGACAAGACCAAGTAATCAACATCAATAAACATAAATTAAGCAAACATTACACCAAAAACGTAAACGATTACAAACAATAGGATAACGGTATTAAACATTTCATTCTGCATTGCGGTTAAACCAAGTAAATTTCAACAACAAAGATTCAAACACACAAAAACTATAAAATGTGGCATATGTACAAAACACAAATACGATATAAAGAAATGCAAAAATTACTACCTGCATTAAATAACACAAAATAACAACAAACATTTATGGAGCGACGCGTTCACGACCGCCATTCAAGACAAGATGCCCCCGTTCGTGTTTTTTAGATCGCGCAGGCAGCTTTTTCCCCTCCTAGAAATTGCATGGTTGCCAACTCTCAAAAATGTATGTATCGTCGCAAGTTGTATTTACAGGGTGGAACCTTTCAAACTACATAGGTCCAGAAGCTACAGTTTCTCGTAACGAAGTGCCCGTTTGAGTTCGTCGAAGTCGAGGTCGAAGTACTGAGTGTTCAGCTTCCATCAATGCACGGTGCGTTTATTAAAACTGGTATAAGTCCTTGTACGAAAACAGGTGCTTCGTTGCAGTGGTTAAAATTTGTGGTTCGCCATTGAGATCTTTATAAGGGCGAGAGAGAAGGTGAAATGGGAGCAAAGTTGCCACTTTTCGTGAATAAAAAAAACATTTGAAGTTTTTGAGTAATCTTTGAAAACAATTGAGAAAAAACTGAAAATGCCAAATTTCGATAGAAAAAACGGACGATTCCCGTTAGAACCTTCTAGCATTTTTTTGGAGAATCTGAGTCTATCAGAATGTCCATAACACGCTGTATGTGGAAGGTATCGGCTACTACTTTCTTATGGACCTCATATTATTGGACATTTACCGAATGAGATAGAAGACAAAAAAGAAATTGAGTTGAATGCAGCGCCATCATGTTGATTCAGTAAGATCTAGTTACCGGTCCAATATGGGGCCTATAAGAAATAAGAAAGTAGTAGCAAAGATCATTATCAAAAGTAGGTAATAGTTTTGAAAATTATACACGTCCATTTGGGGATGAACAAAGTGTTCGTGAGATGGATTCCCAGGCTCTCTTACACCGGAAAAGGAACTTGATTGTCAGGCAAGAAATTTGCCCGGAAAATTTGCATGCTTTAAGGCCAGCTATCGATATTGTTTTAATTATTATCACTGGCAATGGAACCTGGGATCCTCCAAGGAGACAAAAATCGATGCAGTGGATGCATGAAAGAAAAAGCGAAAACATAGTGTTCAGCGGAAAAATTAATGGAAACAGTTTTCTGGGATTGTTAGGGGATTCTGTTGATTGAGTACAGTAGTTGAACAAGTTTTCGATGAATGTCTTTTCCAGGAATTAAGCACCCTGTAACTATACTATCTTTTCCCCAAATTCAAGAAACTCCAAAATTGTCTTCTGATGGCGATGTGAATGTTGCCGACTATTTTGAAAAGCTGCTCTTTCATATCGAAGTAGATTACATAAAAATGTCCCTCGTAACAAGGGTAAAGAAACCTTCGCTTCGAGAAATAATTCCATCGCAAATACGTGCGGCCGATAATGGCCGTTTTTAAAACGGATAACGATCGACCCTTCGCTCAAAAACGAAAATGGAAACTTCGCATGCGACATGCAGACCGCAGGGCAATTACTTGCATTGCGTGTTGTCGGCAGATAAGGCGCTTTCGAGATTGTTGTCTTTCAAGATTTATAAATCGTGAACGTCCGGCCGCCTTTGCTTTCAAATATTTGTAAAACGAACGAACATTCCTTTCCAAAGAAACTCCTACAATAAAACCGCGTGCTGGCCGCGTACCAATTCTTCCGTATTGACGGCTACGAGCAGGTGCGCCTAAACGTCTGCCCGTACGCCCACGCCCGCGAACGAAAAAAACAATTCGAATTACGAGAGAAAAAAAAGAAAAACCGATGACTCAAAACAATTGCTGGCAATAATCGGGTAAAGTTAAAGAATCTCTTAACGGCTAAATCTGAACGTATCGATGGGGTGGGAGAAACGACTCGCCTTTCTTCAACTTTTAAGACCGACCAGAGTTGAAGATTGTTAGTGAAGGAAAATTGAAAGCTCTAGTGAGGTGCGAACAAGTTGGCGTCGTCCGTTAACAATCAAAACAAATTAAAGTGCACGTTAATGGATTCAATTGTGCGATTCCGTTTCGAAAGTTTCTCGCGCGAGCAGTGCGTTTTCGTTATTATGTGACCAGAAGCAACGTGGTGCCTTTTAAATGACTGCCAGGAATATGGAATTTTTTTAAAGTTCACTCTTTACGTCTCGATAATAACATGGAATCTATGGTCAATAATAATTTGATCTCGAATTTACCTGAGGTGAGGCATTTAAAGAATTTCTGTTTGTTATTCACAACCTGTTGGGTGCTTTTTTTATTGCGCCAAACGTGATACGGCCGTTTATTTGTTGTGAGTGCCGTATTTTATCGTCGGTAAAAATTGTTTTCAGATGGAAATTATCTGCGAATGATTGACGATTTACCTCCGCTGCGGACCGGAGGTCAGAAGCTCCGTTTCGAAATCTGCAGATCATGACAAATACAATTCGCCGATTGTATTCTTATCGGCATTGCTCATATCCTGATCGCAGTGATTTATTTTATTAATTTTTTTATGGCATTTATCTGCGGGGTGCCTCGGGGATCTGTATTTGGACCACTTGTGTTTCTCTACATTTCACCAGATACCTTTAATCTATTTACCATTTGCACACCTTAGGGCCTTAGGGATGTCGCTCGCGTGCCTCGGTTGCTTTGATCTCAGTTTACGGATACCCTGCATACACGTCTCCCGATGTAAATAAACGTTCTGCTAATCTTCAGGGTAATCCTCTTACGTTAGCTACTGCTTAATATTGTTGTTGGGAATTCACTATTGAGATTGCCTTTGAAAATTGAAATATTTTGAACATTTTAAAACACATCATATGACTAAAAGTCTCGGACCTCCGAATATTTTGAAAATTGGCCACATAGATATACAGGGTGTCCCTAAAAGGTCTGTACAACGCGCTACCAGGGGTTCTTGGGATCAAAATAGGACCATTTAACCCTACTTACCTCTATCCAAAAGTGCTTCGTTAAGCCGCTATCTACCGCCAAAGATTCAAAAAACAAATCGTTATTTTTATTTGATCGGAAAATGGTTTTGCCCGAGGTTTTGCCGATTAAAATGAAAGTCGGGATGTGAATGTCTAATGTCAAAAGGGTCTTTGTGATATCATTGTTTTGATTGTAGTTGCTATGTAGGTGGTAAAATACTGACCATCCACATCTGAAGAGGTCTAAAACTTTTTAACTACTATTTTGACAGTTCTGAATTTTTAGACACTGATAGACAGTTTACTTGCAAGCATTTTTTGTCTCTTGATAAATATCGCTATCGGTGATGGTTTACGAAAAAAAAAAAATTTAGGCATGATGAATGGCATGCACCATACATGCGATTGTTCCTCAAAAACCATAAGTGCAAGCAAGAAGTAGGCTATGAAACCGTAGTGCAAGCAAGTAATGTAGAATAAACGAACACAACAGAGTAAGTCAATGTAATGTATTAATTTAAACGTACTAAATGTTCAAAGTGACCACCATTTTCACGCATACAAAGCATTATACGGCGTAATAAATTAAACTGTGCCCTTTGCAACATTGGTACGTTATTTTTTAAAGTTTTAAGTCTTCAAGCAAAACGTAAATTGTTAAAGTTTAAGAAACAACAAACAAACGTTACGCCACTCTAAGGTTTAACAGCCATCTTCTGATTTTTTGAGGAACAATCGCATGTATGGTGCATGCCATTCATCATGCCTACATTTATTTTTTTTTCGTAAACCATCACCGATAGCGATATTCATCAAGAGACAAAAAATGTTTGCAAGTAAACTGTCTATCAGTGTCTAAAAATTCAGAACCGTCAAAATAGTAGTTAAAAAGTTTTAGACCTCTTCAGATGTGGATGGTCAGTATTTTACCACCTACATAGCAACTACAATCAAAACGATGATATCACAAAGACCCTTTTTACATTAGACATTCACATCCCGACTTTCATTTTAATCGGCAAAACCATTTTCCGATAAAATAAAAATAACGATTTGTTTTTTGAATCTTTGGCGGTAGATAGCGCCTTACCGAAGCACTTTTGGATAGAGGTAAGTTGGGTTAAATCGTCCTATTTTGATACCAAAAACACCTGGTAGCGCGTTGTACAGACCTTTAAGGGACACCCTGTATGTAGATACGTCGTGTGACGCCCTGTATAAACTATAGGTACATATATAAATCCCCTACGCCGCCCAATTATTTATCGACACAAATATTGTTGGGTATTTTATATGTACTATCGATAAAGTTGGCAGTTCCGAATTTGGAATTAGTGTGCGTATAATTTAGGACTAATTAAAGACTAATTGATAAGGGCCCACAAAATTAGAATTTCTACCCGCGTAGTTTTCCGGAAAATCTATACTTAAATGGAGGGGAGGGGGGCAACTTGGATTTCCAGCTAGCACCCCCACCTCTCCAAATTGGGCGTTTGACAAGTGAACTTTATAGTTTTAAAGGGCTAATTTGTACACAAGCTAGTTTCGTGATTTAAACAATTAATTATTTAAAGAAATTGTAATAAACAATGTATTTTTTCTAAGCGTAACCTTATACATGTTCACATAAGCGAATTTTCCTTGCAGAATTTTTTCAGAGTACATATTCACCTGGAGCAAGGTTTGTTATTGTACATACCTAAATTTAATTACATGATTTATTTATGTACGATTAATCATTAATGAATTTATAACAGTTGTCAAATAGTTGTTAATTATTATTTACCGCCCACTTGTACTCAAAGTTGTATGTATGTTGATTTATAACACACGACCGCGAATGCCAGTATTATCACTTCGGGATCGATGTTGGAACTGCGTTAAACACAATTCAATTTGTGTATATAGCGAACGAAAGGTCATATTTTCCTTTGTATTTTTCGTTCCTTATCGCCGGTGACTGATCGTATACCGACGTGATCGCGCCCCGATGTCGCTCTAGTACACTAACCTCATGCGTGACCGTATAAGTGAATTTTCCTTGTAGAATTTTTTTAATTTACGAATTCACCAGGAGCGAGTTTTTTATGAGCAATTGAGCATACTCGCTTAGGTGTAAGAGGTCCTTAAGCGAGTTTTCCTTCTAAAATTTTTTTAATGCACGAATTCACCTGGAAGGAGTTTTTCGAGGAGTTTTTTTAATGAGCGGGGGAACTAATTTGATCTTTCTTGGTATTCTAATTAAAAGGTCTCAACAAAATGAACTGTTTTCTACCAACTACCGCCCTCCTTTTGGACCCCTTATCCAAAGAGGAGGTGCAGGGTGGAGGTGTAACTGGTTTTATCCTTCATGGTATTCTAATTAAAGGTTTCAACGAAAATAATTATTTTCTACCAACTTTAACCCTCGCTTTAACCGAAGCGAAAATGAACCTTGCAATGCATTTTTTTGCATTTATTCATTTTCCTCTAAATACTGAAACAATTCTATTTACAATTAAATAGAAAACCCTCTCATCAAGCAGAAATACGAGTCAATAAGGGTTGAACAAGCCACCCTCTCATTATATCTCCAAAACGACACATACTATCACGGTCAAATTTTCGTAGATGGCTAATGATAGTTCGAGTTTAAATAATCAACAAAAATACCCTGGTGCACTGCCGTCCAATGGGTTGAAATAGAGCTCTCCTCGACCCCTTATCGCGATTGGATATAATTCCTTATATCTCAAGAACAGATTGTCGGAGAAGCAGAAGGGTACTCACAAAGCGCGATTGGGACATCTGGAAGAAATATATCTGCTCAAGAGTTGTGACATTTTTCGACATAGATACATCGTGGGACGCCCTGTATAAGTACATCGAAAACCTCTTATCTAAATCCCTAGGCCTATTACGATCCCTATTATATATCGAGATATATATATCAATAAAGTTGCCAGCCCCACGTGTCATGAATTTGGAATTGTACTCGAAATTTTGTGCCTATAATTTAGGACTAATTAAAGACTAATTGATGCTCACAACATTGGAATTTGTACCCACGCAGTTTACACGGAAAATCTATATTTAAATGGGGTTGGAGGGGTGCTAGTTTGAACTTAGGCCGACACCCCTACCTCCCCAAATTAACCGTTTAATTGAATTTGTACCCAATTTAGTTCCGCGATTGTTTAAACAATTGAGTAATTAAATCGAGAATTAAATTAAAGAAATTTTCATAAACAATGTCAATTTCAGATTTTTTTGTGAGCCTAACATTATGCAAATTGTTCACGTAAGCGAATTTTCCTTGCAGGATTTTTTCAGTGTACATATTCACCTGGAGCAAGGTTTTTTTTATTGTACTTAACGTAAATTTAATTACAATTAATTATTAGTGAATTTATAACAGTTAATCATTATTTATCACTCACTTGTATTAAAATTTATAATAATATGTAGATTTATAACACACGATCGCCAATGGGAGTATTACTACTTCGGCGTCGATGTTGGAACTGCCTTTAAACACAATTCAAATCGCTTATAAACATTCTGGAATAAACACATAATCAACACATCCGTCTTCGTTCCATATCCCCGGTGACTAATCTTTTACCGACGTGATATCGCCCCGATGTCGCTCTAGGGGTTGATCACGACTTACTTTAGGGGCCAAAGATTTCTCGCATTGCCGAAAAACGGCCACTATTTCCCTTAATTTCCCCAACATTTCCTCTTGATTTCCTCAGAGTTGCCTCTAGATTTTTCCTCTGATTTCCTCAAAATTTCCCAATTACCCTGAATTTCTTTTAATTTCATCCATTCCTTACATATTTCCTATATGAGAGACAAGAATTTCTCTTATTTATTTTAGGGGACAAAGATTTTCCCCAAATTAACACAACATTTTTCTGAATTAACGTGGAATGAGCAACGTTACTTGCTTATAGAAACCTTTTATTTCCTTAAACTTTCCTTTAGATCTCCCTCGAAATTTTTTCAGAATGTTTACGGAATTTCCTCATTTCCTTAAATTTTCCTAATATTTCCCTATAATTTCTTCATTCCAATTTCTTCCTATTTCCCCACAGTTTGCTCATGATTCCCCAGAATTTTCTCTAATTTCGTCCATTTCCTAGCTATTTTCTCGAAATTTTCTATATGAAAGACGAGAATTTCCCTCGTGATCAACCCCTCGGCTCTAGATTTCTACAATATTCGCTACATTATGAGCGTAACCTCGTACGTGGCCATGTGAATTTTCCTTGTAGAATTTTCCAATTTATGAATT